GAAATCGTCCGCTTTGTTATTACTGTCCACCGGCCGTGAGATAATCCCTGAGTAGGGAAGTCGGTTCTGGTGAGGTGCAGGGAGAATGTTTACTATCAGGTGAACTGGAGGGGGTGGGGGAAGTCTGACACGCCAGTTCTTAGTTTTAAATATAAACTTAACCACCAGATAGCAGTAAGGTTGCTAGCGCTGTTAGAAATCCTCAATCGCCACTGCTGTTCTGACCATTGCCAAACATATCGGAAAGTGTAATATTGTTTTGAAATAAAATGCATAAAATTCAATGCACATTTGTGATTAAAGATAATTAAATTCCGACATTTAGTGAACATTCATTTAGGAAATAGCAGGTGTTTTATAACAGAATATATGGAGGAATAGAGACAAATTTTATGCATATAGTGCCAGAGAGTAACAAACTGAAAATGTATTTGTTTTCTTCTCCAGGTTATTAGTAAATTAAAGTGACTTTTTTCTTTTCAAACAACTACTCAGTTATCAACATGGAAATTATATAAATAGCCCTTATTTAGTATTTTGTTTTCTTGTGATTATTTGTTTTGCCTGCCTCTTGTATTTTTCTTTTAACTCGTACTTTGCAACTGGCCTCTTAGGTTGTTAAGTCAGCACGTAAATTAATAAATAAATAATCGGTTTCAACTAGATTGAATTGGATTGATTTGAATTACTGGCATTAGATTACTGTCAACTGAGCTTCTAAAATATGGGGTGGTAATGGAGATACAGTAGTTCAAAGCAGACGTAGTACTGTTAGGCTAAACAGCTCACGGAAGTTGTGATTATGTGAAATGTGAGCTTGTAGATAGTATGGGAAAGTACGAAATGCATATGTAATTTTGATGTGGAAACCTTTTGCAGGGCCAAAGAATGAGACTAAAAGAATATTAACATAATTTTTATTTGAGCAAACTGTGAGTGCGTGCATTCGAATGAAGTTGTTCGTACACAGTGCTCATTATTATTGTTGTTGTTGTTGTTGTTGTTGTTGTTGTTGTTGTTGCTGCTGTTGTACTTGGCGCCATGTCACAGGTTGTCTGTCCATGGGTCAAGTTCAGACCTTGAGAAAATTATTATCATCATTATTACAACTGTGTCCAACGTTAGTTGATAACAAATGTTGCTAATCAGTCATAAAAAATTCAGCTGTAGAGAGAAAAGCAAAACGTTCATTTTGGGTTTAAAGCAGAGTTTCATTGTAGTGGACATGTGACATAAACAGACCAGCTGTTCTCATAAGTGACCATTTACCAGTTTTGTGAATTGAAACTCAATTAAAGCATGCAATTAAAAAAACACAAGTATAAATATTCGAATTGAGCACTTTCACTGAACACATGTTCGTAACGTTTTGTATGTGCAACGTCTGTGTTTCTCCAACTGTTTACGTAGTAAGGTAGCTTTAATGCAGGTGTGCCCGAACAATACAGTGTAAGTGAAATGCTGAAATTAACAGAAAAGTTAATAAATTCTAAATTGCTACAAACTCATTGTTTTTTGTTTTTGATTTTTTGTTTTTAGAGACCGCAGATATCAAGTTATAACATTTTACGAACATTAAAAAAACAATAAAAATAACCATGTCTACCACACGAGATCACAATCATTTTCACATGACTCGGTCGATAGAACCTCGTTATAATTTTGCCTGCTTGTTACACGGATATGGAACTTGAGCCCCTGACCTAAGAGAACAAACCATATTGAAGGCGTATGAGGAAAACATACTAAGAAACATAAACGTATCGAGCGTAGAGTACAAATTACGATATCACCTAACTACGTGGACCGCCAACAACCCCGAAGCTAGGACCACCTATGACTGTCCAAGACTCAGTTAGCTACCTTTCATATCTGGAGGCTGTTTACTCCAACCGAAACCTGAGGACAAGCCATGAAATGGCTCACTATTAATACTCGTCAGTATGAAATTCTCGCCATAGCTCTGAAACTTCATAACAAAAGTCTGAGTATTCCTTTCACCACATTGTTATATTTAATATTTCCACTAAATTCTTATCATATATGTAGCCTTGTTTTTTATCATATAATATATCAAATGCCACTGATAATTACGTTTAAGTGCTGAGAGATAACAGGATACGTTATTTAATTTTTTCATGGCGTTAAATATAAAGATGATTGTATTTTGAAACAATCAGGCTCTGATTGCTGAAGAAATAAACGTCTCTTTAACGTAGGTAGACTTATACAAAACTACACAGTGTAATATCCCAGAACACATTCATCTTCAGGACGAATTTTGCCAAGAACAAATAAATAATACTCCATATAAACTGATACTAAGTGAGATATCTCGTACATAGCACCGGTATGGTGAAAAATATACTGCATACACCTAAATGCTGAATGTCCACTTAAAGGCCAGTTCAATGTTATCCACTTTAATGTGACTACATATAAAGTATCCCTGTACATTTAACCCTTCCAGGTACCATGAATCCCCGTCGTGATTGGTTTAACCATTTGACTCATTCCCGAACCATATCTTGACACTTGCAAGCGGTAACACGCTAGCCGTAGCATCACCAACAGCGCGGTGATCTAACCTGCAGTGACCTTTCAAAGAGCAGGAAGATACTCTGAAAACAATACGTGCAACATTACAAATAATTCCTATGCATACCCCATAGGTTCTGACGTTCATTTATTATGTATCTCATTGCAAATATAACATATATTTCCTTGTACAAACGTTTAACTAAATATTCGATATACTGAGAGATGTGAGATTGTGGTTTCCACGGCGGTAGGGATAATGATGATCTGGTGGGTTCTGGTACTGTGAAGATTTGTAAGTTGATACCGACGTTTCAGAGAATCAACTTGTTCTACTGTGGGCATGGAGCCATAAAGATAGAGGAAATGTTTCCCCGAAACGTCGGAATCAAATGCCAGAACAACATTGTCTAAACTGTTTAAAATACAAAGTATAGACTACAGTGAGTTCTATATTTATATAAAGTAATATTTTTTTGTATTATGAAACATGTTTTGATAAATCTATATACGTTGTTCTGAGTTTAATGTATAGAGGACATTAAAATTCCAATTAAAATATTTAAACCTAATAAATTTGATGTGACAACAGTAATGAGATAATTAGATAACGAATATTGTCATTATATCGAGGGCTGGATAAGCAGAATATGTAGAATGCATAATGTACGAATTTTTAATCGGAAAAAATAAAGCGATGAGATTTCCAAAGAGATCAAGGAATAATAGATGGGAGGATAACGTAAAGCTATAACTTAGTGAAATGAGGTTTGAGGATGTGGATTGGATTTAGCTAGCTCAGGAAAGGATATGATGCTGGGCTCTTTTAAACATTAACGTGCTTTCGGGTTTCATAAGAAGGAGGAACTTCTGTACAACCTAAGCAACTATTAATGTTTCTAGAAAGCATACAACCGTGGAGTTAGCTAGGAGGTAGTTCTATTAGACTGTAAGGACACATGACGTTTAGAGATGCTTTCCATTATCTCGTTTGAAAGGTACATAGTTTTCGAAAATCGAAGGAAGTGATACTTACCCAATTTTTACATCACTTCCATAATGGATCTCTTTTTTTCCTTTGGTTTCGGGAAGGCCGATGTCAATCATTGATTAGATTGCTCTGAAAATTTCGGTGCATAATGTAGTATCTCCGATTGACTGAAAGATGTCACGTCGACCGAGCACTTCCCAAACAAGTGACTGTGAAATTGCGCGTGATGACCTCGTAAATAATGCAAAAAATTTCTGTTTCGACCACTCAAACCGTCCGTGGTTTGTTGCACGGTGTAATTTGTACTACACTGAAACATCACGACTGTGACAAACTTCATCATTTAAACTTATGTAGATCAAGTGTATGGAAATTTAAAGTTTAACAAAAATACATACCAGATCCTGAAAGCACAACTGTTCATTATAAAAATATATGCCTATATTATACTCCCTTCCATAGTTCGGGAGTTAATATTTAACTTTAAAGAATAATTCCTTAAAACGTACTCGGTGAATATGAATAGTTTATCAGCATTTTATTTACTCTCTATCTAATCCTATATTACACTGAAACGCGTTTCGCTATATCAAACACAAACTGAGTTACAGCTAAATCAAGAAAGCGTGTATTACCTCCTTGCGCTCATCCTCCATCTATTAAACGCACTACAGAAGCAAAATTCCCGTAACACGATCCATCATCCTGTCTGGAAGAAGAAATACTCAGCGGTATAGTTGTCTTAATTCCCAGGTAGGCTGTCTGATTGTAGCATGCAAATTACACCTTCCCAAACCCCGTGTTAAATATGTGTTTCGAAACAGAATTAGAAGGTTAACATCATTCTCTTGGAAAACAAGAATTGATCCGATATTACTAAGTTTACGAGGTGCGGTAATACAATATTCTCAACACTACTGCCGTAAACCAACAAACAGTAAACACTATTTCTTGAAGCACAACATGGCCGCCAGCAAGGGAGAATCATAACTCACACCTAATTGACTTCTCGCTCTCCCTTGCCAATGCTGCAGTTTAACCAGTCCTTGTACAAACAACAATGTGGAAACTTGAGTTCTCCACAGGTCAGGGATCTTCTTTTCCTTTATTTTCCCTCTTTCTTTCTTCCTTCTTCACTTCATCCTTTCGCATTGTCGTATTCGTTACATTTTTCAACATTTTCTGTTCCCAGTTCTAAAGGGTTTTGGCGACAGTAGATTACACTTAAAATTATTCACTGTCAGGACTTTTTCCATCGTCTATTTTTTAAAACCCGCGACGTTTCGGAAGCTGGTTCTGTCTCCGTCTTCAGGTAAGAGGTACCTACTCTGTTGGGTCATCTAGTTAAAGCTAAAGATAAGCCCAGTGACAGAGACTAACTCTATCTAAGGGACCCAACAGAGTAGGTACCTCTCA